AAGTTATTTAAACAAAAGAACAAAAAATAATGATGCACGCCGCAGCCGCGAGCTGTTGCCGATTGGTTAAAGGGAACAAGCCAAAGAATATATGTTAGTTTTCATTTTTATATTTAAACGAAAAAAAAAATGATGATGACGCGAGAGACGGGAGAGAAATACGAGAGAATTATTATTATTAATTATATTACTAACGAACGAGATGATGCTAAATAATATTAGACCGGTTGTTAGCGGTTTTTTCTATTGCGGATACACCATCGCGCCGGCGGTTTTCGCGAACTTGGATACGTCATCCGGACGGAGGACGACATCGTGCAACGGAAGTGCAGCTGGCATCACGAGGCCGTTGTTCGGACAAATTCGTAGTCGAAGAGCTCAAGGAGCCGAGTACAATGAGTATCTCCTCGTATTACTCTCCGTTAAATTAATCACTGGAAGATGAAGACGATCGATAAGAATTACAAATTCATTTTTAAGAAACAGCGATATCTACTAATGAAGACAAATTCTGATGTGGGTGTCGCCGATATTTAATTTGCGTCCTCGGAAAAACAAAACGAGTTGATAATCCAGTTGCATATATTTTCCCAAATCTCTCAGGACGGGAATATATCTTTGATCCGCTTCGAACTCTTCGACTGATTATTTCGCGATGCGTGTCCCGGTTTCTCAACGACTAAGACATTTCGGAAATTGTCTCCGAGTGTGATCCAAAATTGAATCTCACGTAAAATGTATTGGTTTCGCGTGTGATCCATCGGCACGTCGATCGGTAAAGGTGGGGACATGCGTTCAGTGTCTCGGTTACGTGGTCCTTCCTGCCCCACATATCCTTCTCGACCACGTGATCGAGCGCGATCCGCCACGTCTTGTGCACCTCGATCTCGATCGCTTTCTATATCGCGTCGATCCCCAGGGCCAGCGTGATCTCCCGAATCGGCGCATCCGCGGCCATATTTTCGCGGCCGCGAGATCCCGGAGGGATTGTTCCCGGTCGGAAAACAATCGATCGGAAACAATCGGAGATCACGAACGACGACATCGTCGTCGCGATTAACTGTCGTGCGCGGGAGTGTTGAGGGAAAGTAATATAATTAATCGCGCGCGGTGAAAAAAGTGTTACGTAGTTGCGTAGCTTTTGCATGTGAATCTTGGATTCCAAAATTAAATCGGTGAAAGCTTTTCTTTCTTTTTTAACGTGGGGGGGGAAATAGTAAAGGGAGGAAAAAAAGAGGTAAAAAAAGTGAAAAAAAATGAAAACGACTGCGGACGTTCGCTATCGGCTCGGCGTCTCGTCGGCGTTTCCCGGGGGCGCCGAGGGAACGAGCGAGTTGCGCGTCCTAGCACACCCTCGGTGTCGTCCTCGACGTGAGACTTCCGGACGTCTTCGACGTCTCTATCACGGTAATGATCTTGTAAACGAGCGTCGACGAGCAGTCGGCGTGCCGTCGGGGACGGCGCCGAGCGTCGCGCTTCTGTTGAAGGAACAAATGAAATTATTACATGGAATATATATAAATAATGATATATATTATATATATATATATACACACACACACATAATATATATATATTTGTTATACGCGATAAAGATAATTAGAGAAGAGATAAAATAGCGGTGAAAAAGGTGTGAGCTCAAGGCCAGACTCGATCAAGAGGCGCGTCCTTTCCTTTCTTCATCATCCACTTCAAGCCTCCCATTGACGATTTCGACCCTCCTCCCCACCCCTCATACCA